GACACCGAATGAGCAAATAAAGGAAATTGTCAAAAATACTCTTCCTCAAACACACTATGACATCAAAGGTTGCACAATACTTACCTTCAAAGAAGACTTAACATTACTGAAGGAAAAAATAACAGAATATTTCGACAACTTCAAAGAGGAAGAATGAAGTCACGACAACATTAACGAAGAAGTCACGACAACATTAACGAAGAGAGAATGAGGTGAAAAAACAGGTGACATCTCACCTCTTCACCAAAAATATATTTTTGCTTAAATAGCTTCAGGGTCAATTTCTTCAACCATTTCACTTCCTTCGTCAATGTCAATAGAAGCTTCTTCAACCTTTGGTAAGAACTTTTGTATAACATCTTTGTTCGTTATTGTTTTCAGAGATGAAGAATAATATTTCACATTTATTTCACCCTTCTTATATTCTTTCTGTTCGGAAAGATTTAAAGCAATACTGAAGAAGTCAATGTTGGAGTTCTTTATAATAGTATAATGAGTATCTTTGACATTCACGAAGAAACCCTTTTGTTTCAAAACTACTGCTAACTCTTGTGAAGTATAACGTTTGCGGTCAATGACAATAGCTAATGGTCTGACATACTGACCGAACTTAGATTCTTTCACAAACTTCTTGTTAAAGATAACATTGACGTTTGAAGCACCATTGAACTCATTCTTGATGGCAGTAGCGAGAGCATTGTATGAAAAGAACTTGCAATCTTGCATGTGTTTCATTAAAATAAAAATATTAAATTATTTTGAAAAATAACTTAAAAAAAATCTAATCTAATTTTTCAAAAAATATTTTTTTATTTCCTACTAAAGATGTATCGGAAGTTGTCTAAGTTAGAACACTCGGAAATAAAACAACTTCTTACAGAAGCTAATATAGATGTTGCAAAGCATTACACAACAAACAAAAAGGCACTCGCTGACTTCATTAAAGACTATAATGGTGCAATAAGTTATGATAGAATTCATGAGTTCATAAAGCCGCAACGCGGCGAGGACGAAGTCCATGCAAGAGCATTTCCTTTAAATGACGTTGCTATTGACTTATATCATAGACGTTCAATACCTCATGAAGTAAGAAGAGAATGTTTGACATAACAAATGCAAACGTTGGTGAAACACGAAAGAGAGATGACACACTGAAACAACAGAGAAGAGAGATGTTTAAAAGTGCTATAGAACAAGTTCGCAAAGCTAACGATGTCATTCGTTCCATTGACGACAAACCAAAAGAAGGTGAGAGATGGTTAAAGAAAGATGAAGAAAATAGGAAGAGGAATGTGAAGTCAGGCAATAGACTCATTGACTTTAACATCGAAGCTTTAGATGAACCAAACAGAGACTACTTACACAAACATTTCGGTAAGGTTTTCATGAGACTCTTAGAGAAAATTAAAATAAACTCACAACAGAGATGGATGGTATGTTATAAACTTGGTGGAAAGTATGAATGTTCTACGTTAAACCTCAATAATATTGGAACATTACTACATCAGCTCTTGAAGGAGAACTTTATATCAGAGATAGAAGCAAATGCTGCAGGTATTGTTGAAATGCACTATGACTTCTTCTTGACAAACATAAAGAATCTTACCGAAATAAAGATGTATGATTTAACAGAATATGAAGGCTTAACGATGTCAGATGTAAAGAAAGGCAAACCAAAAAAGAGACCATATAGAGATGAAAGCACACTGACAAATGACCAGAAAGCCATTTTGGAAGCTCTTAAGCAAACAGGAAACCCAGCACTTATAGAAAGCTTTTGGAAAGATAATGGTGAAAAGAAGTTTTATAAGAAGAGAAGCGGTCAGTTCTGGAAGTATCTTTGCACATTACCTATAAATCTTGAACGCTACCAAATCTTCAATGAACTGAACAAAAGAACTGCAACACTTATGACAGAAGATAATGCTTTCGTTTATGCTTGCATTCAGGCTGGAGTAAATGAAGAAACTATTGACCACATGAGAGAAGTCATTCGTGTTAGAGACTTTCCTCAAAGTAAAGTACAAGAAATTTCTGACGCAACAGGTATATCATTTAATGTTACCATTGGTTATTTCAATGACTCAAGACATAATGAAATAAAGAGATATACCAAAAGAATGTGAAACTGTTCGAACTATTGACTTACTTCTTGTTGAAGACCACTACATGCTAAATGAAAGACTTCCAATGACAACATACTTCATTCGAAACTATATAGAAATCTTGAAGGAGTGTGGTGGAATGAACATTGAAAAACAGATGAAATATATACAAAGAGAGAAGATAAATATGTAGTTCGTTATGATAGAACAACACCGTATGGGATGTTATGAAAACATTGTGGGAGTGCAAATATTTCGAACCTATTTCTTATGGAGAACTTTTCACATATACTACTGACTTATATAAACAGAACCTTGCACCATTTAAAGATTTTGACATATGCTCCAAAGTATTGTGTACAACTGAAGAAGAAAAGCAGAGTCAAAAGAAGTAAATAAAGCTAAATGTAAATTCATACCTGAGCACGTTTTCTTTGCTGACTTTGAGTGTAGTACGGATGGCTTTCATAAAGCTTTTAACATCTGTTATGACAGTGAAGATGGTTCAGTTAGTGAAAGCATTTGGGGTCAAAACTGTGCAACAGAATTTTGGAAAGACTTCCTGACAAGAGTTTAATATATTTCACAACCTCAGTTAATGACATAAACTTCATCTTAAGACACATGACAGAAGTGAAAGGAACTCCATCATTAAAGGTTCACGAACAATGCAAATAACTGGCTTATATAAAGGACGGGCAATTATTAATAAAAGACTCTTACAGTGTTATAAATAAGAAGCTTAAACTATTTCCTGCTATGTTTAACTTACAAACAGGACCGAGAAGTATTTCCATATAACTACTACAGCAGTGTTTTGTTAGCAAATGACAACAGAAACTGGTGTCATTTCTGAAGCATGTAAGTTTATCCATGATGCAGATACATTTATGAAGAACATAGATTCCATCAAAGGTTGCAGAATAGATGAAAAACCACTTCGACTTAGAAAAATAGCACGTTTTACTGCAAAACAAGATGTAAGAATTTTAAGAGAAGGTTTTGTAAAGTTCCGCAATGACTTATTGAAAGAGTTTGATTTAAACGTTTATGACTAACGTTAGTATTTGTTCTATTGCTAACAAATTGTTTGAGAACAGAGTAACTTCCCGAATGGAAATCTTTATGACCTCTCAAATAAACCAAGAGAATTTATTTCGAGATGCATTCAAGTGGAAGATGTATGTTGTCAGATAACATGAAACAAAAGAGCAAAAAGAAACTCATTGCTGACTTCGACACTGTTTCATTATATCCTTCAGCTATAGCAAGACTTTATACTTTAGAAGGAATTCCAAAAGTATTGAAGGATGAGATGCTAAGCACAGAGTATCTCATGAGACATTTTATTCGATGATGACCAAAAGGAACCCATTGGTGAAAAGTTTATGTCTGGCTTCTTTGTTCTCATTAAGATAACAGAGATTGGTATACCAGACACTTTCATTTAATAGTTTTGCGAACCCTGAACTAAATCCAGAACTTAACGTTCCAAGAAGTTCAAACACTTGCTGTCTCATGTTTGTTGACCATATAACATTACAAGACCTCATAAAATCAAGGTGTCAAATGTGAAGTGTTGCAAGGATACTATTACGATGGAAACAGAGATATGAGAATAAGAGATGAAGTAAAGAAGTTGTTTGAGTTAAGGTTAAAGTATAAGAAAGAAGGAAACCCCTTACAAGAAATTATAAAACTCATTCTGAACAGCATTTATGGCAAAACTATTCTATCTCCTATTGAGTCAAAAATAACCATAGTAAATGACAAAGATGCTATAAGATATGCTATAAGAAATTACAACCATATAGTGAAGTTCGAAGGTTTGGATGGTTCAGATAAAACTATTTTCAAGCTAACGAAAAGCATTTGCAGACACTTTAACTTCTGTCCACTTGGTGTTAATATTCTGTCTATGTCAAAACGTATTATGAATGAAGTATTCTGTACTGCAGAGGACATGGGACTTCAAATCTTTTACCAGGATACCGACAGTATGCACTTATATAATGAAGACATCCCAAAGCTTGCAGCAGAGTTTAAGAAGAGATATGGTCGCGAACTTATAGGAAAGAACCTTGGTCAATTTCATAGCGACTTTGCAGAAATAACACCTGGAAAACAAAGTTTAGCATACAAGTCAATATTTTGTGGAAAGAAGACCTACATTGACTTACTCACTAACGATTTAAATGAAGTTGCATTTCACTGCAGAATGAAAGGCGTGAAGCAAGATGTTATTGCTTTAACCGCTAATGAAATGTTTCCTGAAGCTATACAATGCTATTACAATGAAGATAAGAACATTCACATACCTGTTGGAACATATGACAAAGACTCTGAGTTCAGTTTAATGAAACTTTACAAAGCACTTTATGATGGTCAAGAGATTGCATTCGACTTATGTAAGTCATGTCAACCTTGCTTTGCTGAAAAGTTCAACTTTTCAATAACGACTAAAACAAGCTTTATTCGTAAGTTGAAGTTCTGAGGTCATGGGCTTCGCCCTTGCCGCTAGCGGCTTATTTTTGTCAGCAATGAGGTCATTCGTGATAAAAATAAAGCTAGCGTAGATTTTACAATACTGCGATGGTAGAGTTTAAGAGTTGTGCTTCAATGTAGAGACAGTCCTTATGGTCTGGAGGTAAGAACACTGGGCAGTTATGGTCATGAGTGGAGAACATGTCTATCCAAAACTCACGATTGAAGCCAGTTAATTTATAGTATTTAGGGTTAGGAAGTGGTGAAGTTCTTGTATGACCAATGAACTCATTTTCAACGCCTTTGGCTATATTAGAGTAAAGTATTGCTTGCTTTCTATCCCAAATGCCAGGTGTTACAATCTTTGAAAATTCATTTTTCCTCGGAAGCATTGCATCATAATTGAAAACATTCTTGAAATCATCACTTGGTTCAGAGATTTGAAATCTTATACGTAATGGATTTTTTTTCTCTTTAGCGACTTCATTGAATGGTGAGAATACAATGAATTGACAGTCATGAGTTCCATCTTCATTTTCATTAAATTCATAATGAAAGTCTATAAGTTGTGGCTGACTACCTTCTTCTTTCAGTTGTGCAAGAAACTCACGTAAAGGCTGTAAAGTTTGTACTTCAATGTTGAACTTTTTCTCGAACATCTCATTAAATGAAATCATACATTGTTGCAATGTTGTATCGTCTTTAAAGTATTTGTATATGTGAATGTTTTGGGCGCTTAAAGACTGTTCGTCATTTTCTATCTCGACTTGAAGTATAAAGTCAACCTTTCTGAAAGCACGTGTTATATACATAGATGTTATGCCAATGTACTTCTCTTCATTTATGTTCACAATCCAGTCTGTTGGAAACTTAAACGTTACTCTGTTCCCCTTTATTTTGACGTCAGGGTTTTCACTACTGAACGCAACAGATAAAGGTATTTGTCTATACATTTAATTCGGATAAAAATAAACCATTTACTCTTTCTTTGCTTCAGCTTCTTTAGCTTTTTGTTCTTCTCTAGCTTTCTTCGCCATCTTGCCGTTGGTCTCTTTGTCTTCCAGCAGCTAATGCAGCTAGTTTTTTCACTAAGTTTTCTCTTTGGTCTCTCTGGCTTTTGTTCTTGTTTTTGTTCCTTCAGTTCGGATAAAATTTGCTCGCGAATTTCTTTCTTCAATGCTTCAACATCTATGACCCCTTGGGTCTTGTCCGTAGGGCTTGTCTGAGTCATTTGACTGTAGATAAAAAACTAAATTAAAACTTTAACCGATGTAAAATGAGCTTGTCAAAATCAGAACGAGAGTCTATTATATTAAATGACGCCAGAGGAATACAACATCCTTTCTATTACGTAAGTCAGAGTAAAGATGGTAAAATATACGTAAGAAAAAGAAAGGTTCCATTAGCGAATACAGAGAGCGACAACATTAAGGTGCATAGCAAGGGCGAAGCCCACGAAGTCCATATAAAACCTTCTGTTCAAACTGAAAAGTCAATAGAACAAGAAGAAAAGAAGCCAGATGTTCTTTCAATAACGAACCAAGAGCTTATTGCAAAGTTCGTGAATTTCATTGAAAAACAAACCGAGTCAAAGAACCCTGACCCGCCAGTGAAAGAAGTTGAGACAAAAAGAGAATGTACAGTTCATTGAAAATGTCAAGAAACAACTTCCACCACGAATACCAAGAAGAAGAGTGAGAATAATGAAGTAAATAGATATTTTTATCTGAAGTAAATACATGCAGAACGAACAGTTAAACGAATTTACTCCAGCAGAGCATATTCATCAGATTCGCTCATATTTCGATATCATAGACAATGCAGTTCAAATTGGTGACACTAATAGAAAATATTCTGACGCAAAGATTCCATCACAACCTGGAACTGCTAAAGATAACACATGGGTAACATTCAATCTCTCACCTCCTGGTGAAAATATGTTGGACCTTTACAATACATTCATTACGTATAAAATGGAAGGTCAATTTATTGCAGATAAAGAAATTGGTTCAGGTTCCAATAAAACAAACCCACCAGGATTTTGGATTGGTTTCGATGACGCTTTCTATGCAGTTGCTGGATATCAAATCCTTGCAAATGGTCGTATCGTATATTCTCAAGACAACGCAAGAGAAGAAGCATATATAACTTCAAACTCACAAACTACCGAACAAATAAAGAAAGTAGATGTTTTCTCAAAGACTCGACATGAAGATGTATGGAGTCATTCGGGAACATGCAGAACAGGACAAATTGTTAGTGGTCCAATTACAGCAGGAAAATCATTTGATTTTAAGCTTCGTTTAAGAATTCCTGTTAGAAGATTCCTTCCATTAGAAGCTATTCGATTTATTCCAGCTTTTGCAGGAAACATTCAGCTTAAAGTAAAGTTCAGTAGCGACGCCTTACAATGCACATCTATATCTGTAAATGATATCATTGCTTTCAATCCAACTCTTAAAGTTGCATTTGCTTCAGATTCAAATCCACCGACAAATAAATTTGTTCCATGGAATGAACCATTCACTATGATAACGAAGGCAGTAGAAGCTAGTGGAACAGTTACTATTACAACTGTAAACCAGCAACTATTTCGAACAAAGATGGATTTTAATGAATGTTTCATTCATCCAAAGTCATTCTCTTTAGACCCTAACATTTATACAGAACTTGTAGAACATTATACAAACGAGGCTTTATGTTTTCCTGTTAAAGTTATGGATTGGATTCCTATGGACGGTTCATTCTCAAAGAATACAGATAGTTCAAGTGCAACATTTACAGCAGCTTATACGCCTATTAATGTTAAAAGTATTTGGGCACTATTTAGAAAGAAAGACAACTATTATGTTAATTTTGAGAACCCTAAGTTTAAATATCTTCAGCTTTCCATGGGAGCTTATGGAAATATGCCTGCAGAACCTGAAAAATCATATGGACCTGTATTTTATGAAATGGTTGCGAACGCTTGCAATACAAACAATGATATGATAGGATTTAATGAAGATGTTATGAGGTCATTGGTGGATGATGGTAGTGTGGAACATAAATGGGATAGCTATGACAACACACATTTCTTATGTGGTTTTCCAACAGAAGTGGACTTTTGCTTCCAGCAAGGTCAAACATCTACTGCTCCAATAACATACAAATTGTCTGTTAAAGGACCTATTGAACTAGCAACTGAAAACGTACCAAAGCCACTTATTGGATTTATGAGGGATTGTTGCTTTGCCATTCAGGTGCGTGCTAATGGAATCCCAATAATAAGATTAGATGACTATAACTTAGCAACTGACGACAGTGAGGAATAAAGGATGAACGTTTATTTTTAAAGCTTATAAATGAGTTCTTCATCAAGCTCTCGTGAACCTTCACCATCTATGAAACAAACTTTACCAAACGATTATGGAGCACCTATTGAATATTTCTTACGAGCTGCACAATGGCAAAGAGCAGTCTCACCAAGGTTAGGTGTTCCACCAGCTCCTGTCAAAAATAGCATTTGGTCAAGTCCTTATATAAAATATGGTCTCCCACTAGGTTTGCTAGCTACAGCAGGAGCAGTAATGATGTTGAAAAGAAACAAAGCAAATGTTATAAATAATACTGAAGTAGCTGAAGTTAAACAAACTCCGACACATTCGCCAAAACCAACGCCTTCACAAGCAAAACCTTCAATAACTCCTGAACCTATGGAAGTACAAACTCCTGTTCAAAAGTCAACTCCTAAACCGACTCCAACATTTAAACCAGAACCCACGCCTCAAATAAATCGTAAAACTCCTGCGTTTCCTTACTGAAAAAATAACGTTATTTTTATTTAATATTAAAATTTTTATTTGATTGAAATGACGACTAAAGTCACTGAAGCAATGAAACAAAAGTTTTTGGTAGAATACATTAAATCAGGAACTATTCCAGAAGGTTTTTACATTCATACTATGAAGGATGGTAGAGTTCAGTTTAGAAAGATAAAGCAACCATTAGATAGAGAAGGTATATTAAGGAAGATTAAACTTCATGAGGACAACATTGCTGAACTTAAGAAGAAGTTAGAAGAGTTGGAGAAAGGAAGAGAGTTATAAAGTAATGAATTCAACGGGTGAAAAAAGAGGTGAAAAAACAGGTGACATCTCACCTCTTCACCTAAATTTATTTTTGTGCTATGTTTTCATACGTGTGAGGGTGGTGATATCATTAATTTTTAAGTTTATTTTTAAGTTTATTTTTATTTTTATTTGGATGTAAATGACAGAACAAAAGCAACTCATTCGAATTCCACAGTATAACAAACATACATTTAAACATTTATTCTTCCTTCCTGAGCATAACATGTTCTTTCAAATACATCCGAGACCAGTTGACTTTTCATTGACTGTGTATAAAGATAGAAATAGTTATATCATTAAACCATACGATGACGAAGGTAAGTTATGTAAATTGTACGTTAAGAAGTTAGAGAAAGTTTATGGCTTCAAGTATGACTACAATAGGGTTAACACTGATGATGAAGATATTGAGGAAAATTTATGAGAACATTAGTGAAGTCGTTAGTGAGAACGATAGTGAGAACGTTTATTTTTTACATTAGTGAGTTCGTTAGTGAAGTGGTTGGCGGCTTTGTAAATATTTAAGGTTAAATTAGTTTTTGCGTTCGTGTTGTAAAATATACGTTAACGGTTTTGTAAAGTGTCAAATTCACAAGTATTGGGTAAAGAGGTGCGCAGTGCCACCATACCAAGACTTGTATACTAACTGAAAATAGGGGCGCCTTTCAAGATCTACTTGATCTTTGGGGCGTCCAATGGCGGCATACAGACTCTCATTCTCCCTACCAAAATGGGAAGATTGAGAGATTCTGGCCGACATTGGAGCGCTGCCAAAGCATTCAGGCTATTCCTGCCTTTATTTGGGAGTACAATAATAACACACCGCATGAAGATCTCCCAATTAATCCATTAACTGGAACAAATTACACGCCAAATCAAATGTATCAGCTGAAACCGAAATACACAAATGCAGATACAGAAAGGTTGTGGCAAATATGGGATACAGATACAGGCATGACCGCTGTTGACACATTCACAGCGTAATAATAAACATAATTTTTTAATTTCATTTTTAACAAGTTTTTTAAATGTATGTAATGAATAATTCATTAGAATATGATAATGCACATTGTAACAGTATAGAACAATCACCAAATTTTTTTTGAAATTAAAAAATAAAAGTAAAAAGTATAAAGTAATCTAACCAAAAAAGATATTTAAAAGAATTTTGGAAAAAACAGAATAAGGATAATGATATTATTTTAGATACACAATCGATGTACTGAAGAATAATCCGGTAAAATGATGATATAAAATTAGATTATTTTACAAGTAGCTAAAAGAATAAAACTATAATATAAAATAAATGAAGTTTAATGAAACAATAAAGGTTAAATAAATAATAAAGATTTTTATTTTATATCAGTATTGAGAAGAAGTAACAGCTGACACTTGGTAGACAACTTCTTTATGTCTAGAAAATTCTATCTTGCCTTTTATTTTTTCTCGCTGTGAAACGTATTCGGTCTTTTTTTTAAAAATTAATTTTTTGTTAGAGATAAGAGCTAAAACTCGGTAAACAACTTCTTTATGTCTAGAAAATTCTATCTTGCCTTTTATTTTTTTCTCGCTGTGAAACGTATTCGGTCTTTTTTTTAAAAATTAATTTTTTGTTAGAGATAAGAGCTAAAACTTTGCAGACAACTCCCCCATGTCTAGCAAATTTAACATTCGTCTCCCATTTTTATATATTTGGTTTAGAATGTTCGAAAATGCGTAATATGGTCATTAATATTAATTGAAAAGAACCTTGAATTAATTCAATCTGATCTCACAAAATATTTTAAATTACAAACTTTGTAGTTTGAATAGATAATTAGTATTAAACGCAAATAACTAGTTTATTTTTGAATAAAAATTATTTGAATTTATTCAATTTTGTGAATTTTCCTTCAAAAATCAAGTTTAAATATCTTATTTGCCATATAATTATAAATACAATGAAACATATTCGAAATTGAAAAGAATGACTTTTTCTGTTCTTTCAATCATTCAATTTGAATTTTGCAATATTGGATTTCTCATTAAATAGCTATTAAAAACAACAAGCAATTTAACTTACATTCAAATTTATTTGTGTTATATTCAATCTTCTCAAAACTTATAATTTTCGGCTATAGCATGATTATATGCTATATAATATAATAAACCTATAATAGTATCATTCTTTCAATTATTTGAAGAGAAAACCGAAAAAATCTATTTTCGGTCTATAACAATTTTTTGATATTTTTTGCTTTTCGAGCCTAAATAGGTAGCCAAGATAATGCCTAAAATAAGGTTCTAAATTCTGAAGTTTACATGATCCTCTCGTGTGCACCCTTAATATAAATTTATGGGAACAGGACAAATTTGCCACACGGCACTTTTTTTAAAAAAAATTAATGGAGCGGAGCGATACTCTGCTGCAGGAGCCCCAAGGCTCCCAATCATTACGAAAGGGAGCCTCAGGGCTCCTGAGAATCCATCAGCAGAGGCCTTTTCATTTGGCCTCTGCTGATCAAAGATTCGGCGAAGCCATTCTTCGTCTCAGGAGCCCAAGGCTCCCAATCATTACGAAAGGGAGCCTCAGGGCTCCTGAGAATCCATCAGCAGAAGCCTTTTCATTTGGCCTCTGCTGATCAAAGATTCGGCGAAGCCATTCTTCGTCTCAGGAGCCCCAAGGCTCCCAATCATTACGAAAGGGAGCCTCAGGGCTCCTGAGAAACCTCTTTGAGAAGGTTTTCTTTAAGAAAACCTTCTCAAAGATGATTGTCAGCATTCACTCAAAATCTACTAAGAGTTTCAAAGTTTCAAATCTATCTGAAATGAAGCTTTGAATCTCTTGTATATCTAATTGTAGAGGTACCTTTTCAAAATGTCTTCTATTGATTAAATTTAATCAGTAAAAGTCATTGTGAAAAGGTACATCTCTATAATTGCTATTGAGCATTCACTCTTGGAACCTTGGAGCTCTTGTGTAGTGCATGAAAACTCCAAGATTCTAGCATAAAACATATATCATAGACATAATTTCTTCAAATATAATTTAAGGTTATTTTTTAAAAAAATAGAAAAGTGTAATTTAAGGTTATTGAAAAAGTGACATTTGGCAAATTTGTCCCGCACTCTAAATTTATTAATAAGAATAAACAATTTTTGTTTTTGAATTTATTCAATTTATAGCTTTACATATAGTTTCAAAATTGTACAACTATGATTATTTCAACAAAAAATATCTTACTTTTTCACTTCACTTTCACCCTCACTTTTTCCGTAATTCAAATTTCAACATTATGTATTTTAATTCCTTATAGTATTTTTAACATAATTAATCAAATAATAATTGGAAGTTCTGAACTCACTTTTTCCGTAATTCAAAATCAAAAATATGAAGAATATATCTATTTATTATATACTAATGCTATTTTCAACTAGAAGTGAGGTACGGTAATCTTACGGATTCCCGTAACTCAATTTTACGGGAAAAGTGCAGTAAACTACTCAATTTACGGAAAAAGTGTCGTAAACTATTGATGTGGCGGTAAAATCACGGTAATTCACGGAAAGCTATATGCGAAAATTTGAAATTATACAAAATCGAGCGAAACACTTTTAAATAGGTTGTTCTCGTATTTCAAATACTATTCCCAGATTTATTGTCGTCAGAATATTTCCAAATTTTTGCCGATTTACAAAAAATGATTTACAAAGCATATTTTTTAATCTAAAAAATTCCTTAAAAAAGGAACCGGTGTGCGGAAACCTCGGTAAATTACCGCGGTTCCCGTTGGGACTGCCATAGGTAATATTGATATTTTTGTTAAGCTTTAAAGTTAATTTGTTATTTCAAATAAATTTCAATAATATCCTGTGTGAGAATATTTGAAAAGAGGATATTAGCTTATGGAAAGTAATGAATGAATATGAGGTATTAGAACATTTCACTATACTACCACTTATAAGTGATTCCAAAAATTTGAGAGAATATCAACAAAGAATTTTTAGAATTACATCAAATAAAATAGTTGTATGATTAAATATATCATTACACAAAAAAAAAAAAAAAAAAAAAAAAAAAAAAAAAAAAAAAAGAAAAAAAAAGGTAGTGGGGCTTCCAGGCACTTCGTGCCTTCTAGCCCTGAGGATGAATGAGTATAATGAAGTTTTTTTTTCTTGGGGGATGGCTTCCAGGCACTTCGTGCCTTCTAGCCCCCGAAGAT